ATCTATCTATCTATCTATCTATTCCAAATTCGTTCCTCATTGTCATTAGGCACATTAAAGTAAATACAGGGAGAGGTACATACAGAAATAGAATGTTACTGATTATATCTGTAGGTAGCCAGACAGATAGAGGGATAATTAGCGCAGGGAGACAGGTGTAGGACCATGGAACTCATCTCCCACACATATGGTCCTTGGACTGGGTTCAGGATAGTTCCTTCTGTTTAAACAACAAGCGGAAAACCATCTCTTGTACCAGATCACTTCAAATCACTTCAAGAAACCGGACTGTTTGCTTTATTTTAATGTCCTTCTTTCAAAATGTAATCGAACACATCATACCTAGGATACAAAATATTATTCTGGGGATACAGGATATATTGACAGACATAGATAGATAGATAGATAGGTAGATAGATAGATACTATATGTACATTTTATATATAAAATTGATAAAAATGACTTTCTCACCCCACCGTATATATATATACACACACACACACACACACATACATTCCATACATTAGTTATCAGCATCTTTCAGTACACATAGTTGCCACTTTTATACATAGGGATAAGTCCATTTGTGTGTGTATATTTTTTTTACTTTATTTTACAATATACGTTCAAAATAAATAATTGTATGAAGAGAAATAAAACAATACTTTAAAAGAAAACGATAATTTTTTTATATCACATGATTTATAGAAAATACAGAATGTGCTGTTAATGGATGTTGCTCAAATTTTTCTTTAGCGTTGATATTAAGGGAAATTGGAAAATCAAACACTTGCATTAAAAAGGAGGATAATAAAACGGAGTGGAAGATTTTAACATGAGCGTGTGAACCCTCCAGAAATAGTCCAAGCTCTAGATCCACTCTATGCTAGGCTGATAAGCCACCTAGAAGGCTTGCATGTGACAGGTTCCCACACAACAATGAGGTGGTTTGTTTAATTAAAATTTGAAGGGGCAAGCAATCTATTAAAAGCTCCTTTTTCAATTATCTGAACACCCAGTAGTAATGGGGCTCTTGCAAATGGACAGACTAGATAACATCCACAAAAGAGACTGTCTAGGTTTTAGTACATAAACAGCAAAGGTTTTCACAGCATCCTGAAGAAGAAGCGATTGACTTCATGTCAGCCTTCTACAATGAATAGCCTTCTGCTCGCAGGACTGTCAGATACATTGTATGAACACACAAACCATATGACTAGCCTAGACAAAGTATCCACCGACCACTGGCACAGCAGTAGGAGCCCTCTACTTCTTCCCAGCTGTGGATCTAGTTATGGGCATGGTCCTTGTATTAGTTTCGGTATACATTTCCCTCACTACCTCTCTCCACCACCATCTCAATGGCTTCTGTAGAACATCAACTTCTGAGTTCCTGATTGAAAGCAATCCTTCCCCCAATATGTCATTTCAGAATTTTATTTGGAACCACAGATTGGGAGGCTTATCTTAATAGTGTATAATAGTGCCTTCCTATAAACAATATAGCGTTGTTAAGCATTTGGCATTAAGGCAGCCAATTAAAATGGCATCATCTTCTTCAGCAGTAAAGAGAATGCTTCAATGGTAAAACAACTGCTATCTGTCCCTAACTGAGAAATAATTGCTGCCTTGAGCATTCTGTGCAATGGGCACTCACCCCATTCATTGATTTATAGGGTTTGACATATTGTAGTGCTATTTTTTCCCAATGATTTTATAGCACTTTAAAGTACTGGAGTAAGAGCTTCTGTATTGATCACAACATTACCTTAACTTAATCTAAATCGTTCATCACAATGCACTTGATATAGCTGCATTTTACACATTCCTGGATTTGTAAAGTAATCCACTGCCAGGTAACCTAAAATAGACAACCTATTGCCTACATTCTTGGCTATTCCTGTGGACATAGACTGTGTACGCATGGGGAATGGTAGACACCAGAAAGTAGGACCTTTTGAAGAAATGATGTCTTTATTGATCTGTATGGATTGGCCAGAAATGAACAAAGTTAAGCAGAAACACTCCCTGAGAGGTTTCATGTAGTACTCTGTGTTCGATGGAGGAAACTGCTTGCTCAAGCTCTATTTCCTTAGGAAATCTGCTCCTAACACAAGGGAAACAGAGCCTGACATTCTGTGTTCCCACCAGGAAACAGAGACCTTACTATCAACAACCAGAAACAGACTCCTGCTTATCTCTGACAAACCTCAGATCTGTTATAAAACAAGGCCAGATGCCCGGTCATTTTCATGATAGGATTAAAGGCTCACAAAGAAAATAAAAATAAAATAAACAAATACCTGATTTCACAATATACTGGGCAAACCGAACCTCCATCCCAGGAATAGCATGTTTACATAACACAGAATAAGATACAAAGTGTCATATTTGGCTCTAAAATGCCACTGTCAAATAAACAATAACAATGTAACAGTCCAAACAAAACAGAACGTTCTAAACCAAAACAAAACTTTAGTTATCTTGTGACCACTTCTTAGATAATTCTTAATGTTTGAAACATTTGTTATTATCCTGTTAAAGGTCCTGTGTAATTTCTAACAGACCTTTAAATTAACCCTTCTTTAGCTGATGTTGCTGGGTGGGCCTGTTATAACTAAAGGATCAGAGATCCCCACCAACCCAGTTGCAGTTAAGGAGTTAAATAACCAATGATTTGAAAAGCGAGCCAGTGGAATATTCTGTTAAAAATAAAGAGGGCCCTTTAGAAATGAGGGAATGTCTTGCAATAGATCCGGACAGAGCTCTGCACCCAGCGAGCTGTCTAAGGAATCAGGGACAGCTTTGTAATGCTCTGCCTCATGTATTATTGTCACACCAAGCACAGAGCTCTGGATGCAAACGCTACATCACAATTCTGTTTAACACACATAAATCTGAAGCATATTAAATCAGCTCCTTGCAGTCTCAAAAGCTTGCAATCGAATACTGGTTAGAAACATGAATTGACTAGCCCCAAACTTTAAGGGCTGACAGGCAGATCTAAAAACACAGCTAACAGCTAGAGGACTCAGATTAATTGAGTATTTGCAACATTCTAGCTCTAAGTTAAATAAAGGCGTCTTTGTTCTGTGTGATTAAGAAGATTTTAAACACTCCACAGAAAATCCCTTCACTCTCTGAAAACATGCTTTTTTTCCCAATGATCTACTGATCCATCCACACAAAAAAAAAAAAAACATTGTCACCGGGATCCTTAAAACTAGCCAACCCCAGGCAGCCCCAATATCAGGAGCTCCAGGAGACATCTTTAGATGAAGAAGAGGTCCCATGTCTATCAGTCAAGGCACATGAAGAATTGCTGAAGCAAACAAGGAACAAGGTACTTACACTGAAAGTGGCTTGAAATTCCCACCATTCGCTACAGGCTTGTATCTGCAAATAAAAGTTCCTGTCTTCTGTGCAGCTCAAGTGGAGATGCAAAGGGGGGGGGGGGGTGAATAAAATAATAAAATAAATAAGGAGGGGTGGAAAGAAAAAAAAATTCAAGAAACCAAAGTGTTGCAGAAGAGGAGGAATGCAGTAAGTCCAGATGATTCACGTCCAGGAGAAGTCAAAACTAATTGAGTAACTCCAGCTGCCCACAGCTTCAAGCAAACTCCCCCAGTTCCTCACACTGGAGAAAGATGGGGGGGCTAGAGGGGAGGGGAAGGGGGGATAATAATAATAATAGAACGCAAACGCTCAGCCTTCAATCTGAGCTTTAATTGCAACAGTGACAAGATCCTGGTGTTGCAGACAGGGTGAGCAGTCAGAGCTTGCTGTCACTGGTGGTCTGCAGGAAGGACAGACATTTATTACAGGCGGTGTGTGGCTGTGTCTTGGAGGAGGCAGGAGACTGATGTGTGCTGATTTCCACCATAAGGCTGAGATCTCTTCTTCCTCTCCTCCTCCTCCTCCTTCTTCTTCTCCTACTCCTCCCCTCCTTCACTCTGTTTATTTCTCTTTCTCTCCTGCAGTCTCTCTGCTGTCACTTTGTCTCCCTCTAAAGTCAAACAGCACACTGCCAGCAGACTGCTAGTCTCCTCTGCCCAGGTGCAGGGTGGGAGGGCTCTCCTCAAGCAGTGGGAGGTGGTTGTGGTATCAGACATCTGTGTCGTAAAGAGGTCAGGGGGGGTCAAGTAATGGTAACAATGGGGAGAGCACGCTGCCTTTTGGGATTTTTGCCTATTCCTTTCTGTATTCTCTCTCTCTATATATGTATGTATATATTATTCTTTTTTTTTTGGTATTTTTTTCCCCAGACCTGGTGGTGGCTTTGGACATGTAACAAGCTTCACAGAGGAGGGGATCTTAGCGTTTGCCTGCCCTTCAGTAACCTAAGACAAGCACTTTCTCCGACCATCTGGAGACACAACTCCTCCTGCCTTCTCTGCCTGGATCTCATCACTGAGCAGACAGACAGTGCTGCTACAAACCAAGCCTCTCTCTCACATCTCTCCCTAATCCCCTTCTGTTAGCTTTTTTTTTATTTTTTTTATTTTTTATCAAAGTCTGTCTGTTTGTTTTTGCATTAGGTAATGGGCACACAGAAAACAAGGAGGTGTATTTTACATTTTTTTATTTTTATTTTTTTTGTCTCCTGTTCTTTCTGCAGGATAATTCTGGAGGTTACGATGGTGTCTTAGAATCTATTGACCTGATACATTCCAAATGGACTGAAGCACAAACAGAAGTTCTATTTTACACTTCATCAGAATCCTTTGTTACTGAGGTGGTCCTGACATGGCTTTAGCTAAAAAGGGGTTAATAATGGTCATAATTCTATATGAAACTATAGTGCAGTATTAGCAAGGTCCTTCTTTGATCAAACAATACCTTATCATGTGTATAACAATATTCTTCCTATTTTTTAATATGTTAACAATAATACAGTCAATTCTGAGTATCATTTGGGTGTTTTTTAATTTTTTGACAAGAAGGTATGAATTGGATAAGATAATGTGTAAAGGCACTACTGATATTGTGTTGCGCTTATTCTTATTTATAAAGTGACAAGATTTCCTGCATTGTTAAAATATTTATGATGGGCTATTATTATTATTGTGATTATTATTATTGGTAATAAAGCGCCAACATATTCCGCAGCGCTGTACAATAGGTGGACTAACAGACATGTATTTGTAACCAGATGAGTTGGACGCACAGGAACAGAGGGTGTCGAGGGCCTTGCTCAAATGAGCTTACATGCTAGAGGTCCACAACAAACTGGAAATATAGAAGTCAAAATAACCAGATTGGGAGATCCCTTCAGCTTGCCAACTTGCTGTTTTTTTGATAGTCAATAAATTTCATAGTTTACTGAATAGACACCTTATAATATTTCTAATTAACAGCATTGCTCACCTGCTTCTAATACTTGGAAGGAGATTATACAAATATATCTCAGACAGAGGCAACGACCCTAGAAAACTATTTTATGTACATTACATTGACATACATAGGGGCACTTTGAAATATATTGTCTGGCAATTTGAAAAAAAAAATGGACATTATCTAAATGACGAATTTCTGGAGAGAAATAAAATATTTTTGTTTCACAGTTTCCTATTAGTTATTTATCTAGTTGTCTAATATATATATAAAAAAATCTGCACTGTCTGGTTTTATAATAAAATTGTGTACACATCTAATTTACATGTTATTTTATAATAAAAAAAATACAAATATGTATGTGTTTTTTTAGTATGATTGCAGCACCCCAGGCCTGTGCTTTTAAGAATATTTTGCAGCTTTATTTAATGATCTTGGCATGAAATATACACTAGTTCAGTATTTTTAGTGAGTTCAGCAGATTACGGTATTTAACAATATCACAGCTTTATTAATTAGAGATCTCATTGCATTTGCATATATTTAGATTTTTTAATATTGACACTCCAGAAAATAAACAACAAAGTGTATTGAATTATTTAATTTTGTATCAGGTTTGCACACTATGAAAAGCACAACACGTTAGTGCATATGCCCTTCCAAATGTAACTGAATTGATGGTGTTATTATTACCCTGCATAGGTCATGGTATAGTGTCAGGTGTCCTTTAATACATTTTTTTTTTGAGCAGAAGAAGGTTTGTATAATTCAACAAGACAATCCAGCTATTATAAAAAAATAAAAATAAATGTCCACATCAATTTCAAGACTGATATACCAAAATGCATAGAGATATTAAATAAAACAATGAATGTAGGTCAGTTCTAATTAAAATGACTTGCAATGGTTTGGTTGCAGGTTTAATAATTGTAAATGCTATTGGTCACTTCATTTGGCTTAAGTAATCACTAACTATATTTAAGTCCCTTCTGTCACATTCTCCCATTAAACAATGCTTTCCACCCTCAAAATCAAATATTAATATAACTGCAATAGGAAGACAATTTGATGCACAATGTGATTGTCTCTGTTACATTCACCACAACCCTGCTGAGATAGAGAGATTGATAGAGAGATATAGAGATAGATTAATAGATTAATAGATAGATAGATAGAGAGAGAGATAGATAGATATAGAGATAGATAGATAGATAGATAGCGAGAGAGAGATAGCGAGATAGATAGATAGAGATAGATATATAGAGATAGATAGATAGATAGATAGCGAGAGATAGATAGTGAGAGATAGATAGAGAGAGATAGATAGATAGCGAGAGAGAGAGATAGAAAGATAGATAGATAGATAGATAGAGAGATAGATAGATATAGAGATAGATAGATAGATAGATAGATAGCGAGAGAGAGATAGCGAGATAGATAGATAGAGATAGATATATAGAGATAGATAGATAGATAGAGAGATAGATAGATATAGAGATAGATAGATAGAGAGATAGATAGATATAGAGATAGATAGATAGCGAGAGATAGATAGTGAGAGATAGATAGAGAGAGAGATAGATAGCGAGAGAGAGAGATAGATAGAAAGATAGATAGATAGATAGAGAGATAGATAGCGAGATAGATAGAAAGATAGATAGATAGATAGATAGCGAAAGAGAGATAGATAGTGAGAGATAGATAGTGAGATAGATAGATAGATAGATATAGAAAGAAAGAAAGATAGATAGATAGATAGATAGATAGATAGATATAAATATAGAGTCCAACAACAAATTGAGGTACACATACTTATCTGTAACATAGCATACAGTAAACTAAATGGCAAGATGTTTCGTAGTAGAACTCAGCATGGAACAAAGCTTCCATAAGGCTCATGGCTAATTGGTAATTTTTCTACACAGTTGCAGTGTGATTTGAAGGTTCTGCAGGGAGAGCCTTGATTAGGTGTTAGAAGTCCTATCGATTAATCAATGGCGTGTTTGAAAATGAGATTTATCACAATTTCGCTATAGGTTTGCATGGTTATATGTAGGTCTTTTATAGGACTGGTAAGAATGTATTCCGTAACAGTGAGATGTAGATAGCTTAAAATGAACTTGTAAAATGCAAATGAAAATAACTTCAATAATACTTGCAAAATAAACCATAGCACACCTTCAAAGAGTCCTGAATTAGACAGGACAGTCCTGATTTAGAACCATTGTTGCATCATTCTGACTTTTTAACATAGAACTGCATTATCAGAAATAATATATAGGTAAAGCCCTGCCAGTTAAAAGATAGTGGGGGAGCCGCGTGGGAGGGGGAAGGCTGCAAGAGTAAGCCCCTAACTCCCAACAGCCTCAGACTGCACACTGGACACAAGGGGAGCCACCCTCCTGCACCTAAAAGGTATGAAATTGGAGGGTGGCTATAAAAGTGTGTATTTTGACATGTATGTGTGTCTGTATGTCTGTCAGTGTGTGTATACCTGTGTGTCTGTCAGTGTGTTTGTGTGTGTATCTATATGTCTGTCACTGTGTATTTGTATGTCTGTCAGTGTGTGTGTCTGTATGCTTGAAGGTGTGTGTCTGTGTGTAAATCTGTATGTCTGTTAGTATGTCCTTGTATCTGTATGTCTGTCAGTGTTTGTGTATCTGTATGCCTGTCAGTGTGTGTATCTGTATGTCTGTCAGTGTGTGTGTATCTGTATGCCTGTCAGTGTGTGTCTGTGTGTGTATCTGTATGCCTGTCAGTGTGTGTCTTGTGTGCATCTATATGTCTGCCTCTTTCTGTGTGTATCTGTATGTCTGTCCATGTGTGTGTATCTGTATGTCTGTCAGTGTGTGTATATCTGTATGTCTGTCTGTCAGTGTGTGTATCTGTATGCCATCCAGTGTGTGTCTGTGTGTGTATCTGTATGCCTGTCAGTGTGTGTCTTGTGTGCATCTATATGTCTGCCTGTTTCTGTGTGTATCTGTATGTCTGTCCATGTGTGTGTATCTGTATGTCTGTCAGTGTGTGTATATCTGTATGTCTGTCTGTCAGTGTGTGTATCTGTATGCCTTCCAGTGTGTGTCTCTGTGTGTATCTGTATGCCTGTCATAAACGTAAACATTTTGCGTGTGTGTGTTTGTATGTATGTGTGTCTGTCTGTATGTGTGCCTATGTATGTGTGTGTGTCTGCCTGTTTGTATGTGTGTCTGCCTGTTTGTATGTCTGCCTGTATGTGTGTGTGCTTGTCTGTTTGTATGTATGTATGTATGTATGTATGTGCATCTTGTGTGTGTGTGTGTATGTGTGTCTGTCTGTATGTATGTGTCTGCCTGTGTGTATGTGTGCCTGTCTGTTTTTTTATGTATGTGTCTTTGTATGTATGTGTCTTGTGTGTGTCTGTCTGTGTGTGTGCCTGTCTGTCTGTATGTGTGTGTGTCTGTATATGTGCCTGTCTGTTTGTATGTATCTGTCCGTGTGCCTGCATGTGTGCCTGTCTGTTTGTATGTATGTGTCTGTGTGCCTGTCTGTATGTATATATGTGCGCCTGTCTGTTTGTATGTGTGTGTATGTGTCTATATGTGTGTGTGTGTGTGTGTCTCTATGTATGTGTGTGTGTGTGTGTTTGTCAGGGGGGATACAGAGGGAGGTTGGATAGGGAGGGGGGCCACAGATCATTTTCGCACTGGGGTCCCATGGTTTGTGTGTACGCCACTGCACTGAACATGTGCCCATAATACCTGCCTAAGAAGTACTCATCCTAAGTTACACTACAAATACAGCATTCAGACACTAGAACTTACATACCACATCACATACACACACACAAACATTTCCTCACTGCATTAGATTTCATATAGTGCCATAGGTTTTATAAATAAATATAAAGAGACAGACAAACTCATAACCATAGGGATGGGTGGGTAACAGGGACTAGCAGTGAAGGTGTTAACAGTTGGTAGTGAGGTTGATTAACTGGGACTGAAGGGGAAGTGGTTAACAGTGGGTAGATAGGCTGGCTGACAGGGACTAGAGTAGTAGAGGTTAACATTGGATAGTGAGGTTGACTGACAGGGCCTGATGGAGAAGGTGTTATCAGTGGGTAGATATGTTGGCTGACAGGGGCTGGAGGGGAAGGGGTTAACAGTGGGTAGTGAGGTTAACTGACAGGGGCTGGAGGGGAAGGGATTAACAGTGGGTAGTGAAGTTGGCTGACAGGGACTGGAGGGGAATTTATTACTTGCATTACAGGGAAGTAGGGAGAGGAGCATATATGGGGTAGCTGGGAACAAGGGGGGATTTCAAAGAAAGGAGGGAAGGAAGGAGAACAGAAGGAGGTTACATCAAAGCTACAAAATAAAAAGAAGCTAAAGAAAAACAGAAGTGGAGGCAAAAGAGTAACAAAAACTATATTACACATATTGTGCTTAGCTCTAGCCTTGTCTCTGCAGTGTAGTCTGTGTTGTGAACATTCCTTACACTAGAGAAGACATGCCTCTATTTTCATTGGCTGAAAAGGGTACATTATTTTCAGAGACTGGGAATCAGTAACATGTTGAAATTTGAGAGGGGTGTGACTAAGAAGCATGGGTTACACTGCTGAAAACAGCAAAACATTTTACAGCACTGGAGGCAAACTACACAGAATTGTGTAACATACTATACACTGCTGATAGGTCCTAATAAGAGTTTGCCAGTGAATTGAGCTTTTGTGTATTGACCTTATATCTGTGTGTATTTATGTCTGTGTGTCAGTAAGTTTGTGTGTATTGACCTTTTGTCTCTGTGTATGTATGTCTGTGTGTATATGTGTGAGCTTGTGTTTATTATTATTATTATTGCCATTTATATAGTGCTAACAGATTCCGTAGACCTTTTGTCTGTGTTTGTGTGTCAGTAAGCTTGTGTGTAGTGACCTTGTGTGTCAGCGATCT